CATAACCAAACACACACCATTAAGTGTGAGTAAAAACACCATACACTGTTCAGAAATACACCATTGGGGGTGGTGAGTTATATGGTGTATTTTTTTGAGTCCCAGTGAAACCAATCGCCGGCGGATAATTAAGAAGCAGAGGGCGAAGAAATCATCAAGTTAGGGTTATTGGGGTTTTGGCATTCAGGGATTGTGCATATCGAATGGGCTAATCAATCCACTAATCCTCTTCTCTGCCCGTAACTAACCGAGCAACGAACTACTTCAACCGTAACATAAAACGACGCCGTCGGACTTCGCTGCTAACTGCTAATCAACAGCTTCATCAAACACCGTTTTGTTTTAAGTTTCAATAGCATTGATATTTACATCCATTCAGGTTTTAATGGCAAATTATATCATGGACCAGTATCACCTTGTATGGTGGATCTTATTTCAAAACGACGTTATTTTATACTAATCGTCAATTAGTATATCATATTTAATAACATTATCATATTTTTTTATGTTCATAGTATTTATTTATATACCCATAAACTAGACTTTAATTAAATGACAATACAAAATGAGTCATTTGTTTCTTTACTTAAATGACAATATGCTGATATGCATTATTACTAAAGGCGCGTATGGCACAGACGCAAAGAAAGATACCAAATTTATGCATCTTTACTTGAAAATCTTGTAAAGTTGGACAATAGGCGTCTATACGACTATACCTTTAAGGTAAACACGCCTATAGTGTTTATTTTTCTTAAAATATACAATATGCGTCTTTACATTTAAATAAAAACTTCTATAGTTATATAATTTTTAAAAAATAATTTATTTGTATTATTAACACCAATGTACAATAATTAAATTACCGTTCAATGGAAAATTCAATTATCCAAACAACATTTATATAATTCACACTATTCAGCCCAAAATATAATAGAATTGTTCAATACTATACAACATAATAAATATAATCCAACATACTTAACATTCTAACACAATATAATATTATAACGCTAATAGATATAATGTAGTTCTATCTAAAACACATAATAAAAGTTTATACTCACTCATTTATGAAGCCATCCGGAAATTTGTCTACTCACATTGAGCCCGAAACCATTTGTTTCATATTGTTGTTGCTGGTGAAAAATAAATAAATTAAAAGAATCACTTTTTTTTTTTTTTTGAGAAGAATTAAAAGAATCACTTTTTGTATGCACAATGTTTTTCAAGTAATTCCAAATTGAAAAGAAAGTGAGAAATTTGCCATCATCAATTAAGTATCCCAAAAGGCAAGCAATCTTGACTTCCACTAATAATAAGCTAAAAAATGCAGTTCCCTTAAAAGACTGTCTAATTGAATAAATTCAAATTAATTGAAGATCCATAATAAAACGTTTCATACATATCAGCATCAAGTTTTCCAGAAGTAATTTTCCTGCTTTCCAAATGGACCCTTAGCCACTTGCCAACTACACAAGGGCATGACGCCAATATACATTTGTATAATATTTTATTTCTTCAATTTCAATATATAACTTTTATTTCTTTCATCTCTTTCTATTATGATATTTATGTTTTATACATGTACTGTTGTGTTGTTTATACTTATGGATGTGAGTAGCTTGATTTAGGGCTTGGGTTATTAGGACATGATAATCTATCTAGATATATACTTATTTAATTTGTTGAGGTGTTGAGTATTGCATGCAAGGGTAAAATATAATGTCTAACATATGGTTCTTGATCATTTATATACGTATGGATTTGTGTTTTTATCTAGTTAGTGTTTGATGTGTAACATTCATTAACATGTATTTGGAAAAATTTTAACTACAATGAGAGTTGGTTTGAAACTTTAAGTCATTAATTGCATAGTCCATATTTCTCAAATTTGGTTGAAAAATATGATTACTAAAACTCAAAGATTACCTAAAGTTCTAAACCAATTAAACTGGTTGAAACTGAAAAAATAATAAAAGAAAAATATGAAAGAGACAAAAATACCCTTACTAAAAATAGAAAAAATCATGAGAAGAACTAAAAGTGTCCAAAAAAACGATAGTCTGGGATGTAAAATGACAAAAATGATAGTCTGGGACTAAATTTGGAATTGCCACCAAAGACATTGGACCTCCGGTGGAATTAACTCAATAAATAATATTCAATGGTAGAGTTGTTATTTGCTTTTGAGAATATTTATAGTGAAATTTTAATAGTCAAATAATGGCATGTATTATATTCAAAATTATGAATTACCGACTCCTTGCCTTTTTTTTTTTTTTTTTTGGCACAATCTTCTTTATATTAATATCTATTACATGAATTAGTAATTTTTCTGAACATTATGGCTTCTTGAATTTCGGATCATTATTAATTTATTATTATTATTATTATTATTATTATTAAGTTAATTCCATATCCTTATTATTATTAATTAGTATGTTTTATATGATTTTCATTTTTTTATTAATTAGTTAATTCTGTTTTCCTTTTCATTAATCAATGAATTAGGAATTTTTTTTTATTTTTTACTGCTAATTTTTTTAATGATGGTTATTCGTATTAATCAGTGAATTCTATTCCTTTTCCATTTTTAGTGAATTAGCGATCTATTTTTATTTTTTTACTGCTAACTTTTGTACTGATTATTATTAGTATTAATCAGTGAATTTCGTTTCCTTTTCTATTTTCAGTGAATTAAAGATAAATTTTTTATTTTCCATTTTTACTACCAATTTTTTTTTAATTAATTATTATTATTATTATTATTTTGTTTTTAATAATAGTATAGATTGAAGTAGTGGCGGAATAATATTATGGTATATAAATAGGAATTTTAAATATTGTTTTATTGTATTACGAATAAGAATTTTATTGTAGAATTGTAGTAGGAATAAGAATGTAAGAAACAATATATTCTATTAAGAATTGTATTACACTATTTTAAACAATATATTATATTAAGAATTGAATTACACTATTTTATAATATATTACGTATATCTTAATAGTATAGGACTGTATTCGCTGATTGGTATTTTGGGTTTAAGTTTCAGCCCATTAAATAATTTCCTTCTGCAAATATGTTATGAAAGAAGGGGCGCGACCATTGACGAGCGAACCAGCAGCCTCAGCGACCTAACAAGCTCGGCTATTTTGACGGAAGAAATGGTCTCTATGGTTGTGCCTGATTCAAGTCTTTTGCGGCTACTTCTCCGCCGGAGTTGGTGGAGCGATCAGAGAAATTGCGGCTAGGGAAGGAGGAATTGATGGGCCGAGCAGTATAAAAAAGAGAGCGATCGAAGGAGGAAATCAGCATCGATTTACCCCGGATCAATTCCGGCGGTGAGAATAGAACGAGAGCAATTGAGGTCTGTGGCAATTTACAACTCCGGGCGGCGACTTTTATCCATCAAATTGATTGATTTCGGTGGAGCAGCTTTGATTTTAATTCCGGCGGTGTTCGTCCCGCGCAGCAGCAGCAATTTAATTTGGCAACAACATTCTGGTTCTTCTTTCCTTGTTGAATTTAATTATTCTAATTCTTTTATTCAATGTTGAGAGTTGTTCTGGTACTTGTGTAATACACTCCTTAATGATGTTATCTAGTTAGTATTTTTTTTTTTTTTTTATCTGTTCGGCTTCGGGCAATTTTCCAGCAGTGCGTCAAGTCTGGGAAAGAAGAAGAATACTCTTCTGGTTTCCTTCCTCTTAAACTTCACTTGTTATTTAGCAATTCTTTACTTTTAACTTTGTGAATTCTGTACGTACTGTGCTTGTCTTATCATTGTTGAATTGGTTTGCTAGTAATCTTGAAGTGCTCATGAAGGAGTGGGAGTACTGAGACTAATCAGTTTTGAGTTTGCATTTTTTTAGGAATGTGATAGAAATCGCCAAGAAAGTTTTGCATTTGATGTTGCCAATACAATTGATTATGTTTTATCCTATCATTTGTATTAGTCATGTTCTTAGCTTTTGTTAGCTGCTAATTATTTGCAATCTTATTTTTCTGGTTTTTACTACTGATATTACATTAAGTATTTTAAAAAATTTCATTCAATTATTTCTTTGTTTAGTTGTTAAATTGCATTGTATCAATTTTTTGTGGCTTCGATTCTTGCTTTTGTACATTATCACTACAATTGATTCGTACTTCATATTAAGTATAGTTGCTCAATTCTCGTGGATTTGACTCTTGCTTTTGCACAATATCACTACAATTGATTCGTGTACTTGCGAGGACAAATATTAAAATTGTCCATCTATATTTACAATTTTAAAATTGAATATTCATAATTTTAGATTTCAATATACAAGATTACAGAATGCAATATTCATAATTGCATAACTATGTTCACAAATTTTGAATTTTATATTCACAACTTTAACTCTATATTCACAATTTTAAACTCTATATTTATAATTTTAGAACTGAATATTCAAAATTGAAGAACTCTAACTGAATATTCACTTGCTGAGTTGTTTTCAATGTTTCCTTTTTAAAATCATTGACTGCAGAAATGGTGTCGACATTGTTATTTTCACACGCGCAAATTACGTCGTGTCCATGGCATAACTATTGCCTGTTAACCTGCAATTGTTATATCGTGCACTAAAGCACACAATGCATTGTGCACTCTAAAAAATTTTATGTTTCGTATGTACAAAATTGTATAATAGAATACACAAAAATTTTTAACATAATACATATAATCAAACATAATATACAAACTCTTAACATAATACACATAAACACAAAAATAAAATTGTAACGGTTGAACGGACTTTCCATCACTCCTCACCAATTTATGAAAACGACGAGGTTTTGAGCCAGAGTATTGTGTGCCCCTGGTGCACGACATAATTTGCCGTTAACCTAATGGGCTGTTCTTTCAGTGGCTTGTACATTTATTGGGCTGGGCCCATGCTAATTGTCGCCCCACAGCCGCCCACCAATTCTTAGCTACAACCTTAACGCTTCCAAAGTCACCTCATACGTAAGCGTCCAGCTTATCCTCGCATTAGGGTTTGGGGCTCTGCTTTATATTCCATCTCTTACTAGTTCATAACCCGCCGAAAGCTCACACAGAGCGCCTCATCTCTACTCAGCGCTCTCTCGTTCTCTCCCCTTGTCTGTGAGTTCTCTTTTCATGAATATCTTAATTTCTTCGCTGATGCTGTACATCTATTGCTGTTTATTCTGTTTCTGCTTGAGCTTCTCATGTTCGATTTGCTCTTTCCGTTACTTCTGTCAGAGTTTAGTTATGATATGCTGTTGATTTAAAGCTTGGATTTCAATCCTTTTCATTTTGTTTGGTGGTTTTTGTTATATGATGTTCCCTTTGGGATCTGCGCTTCTTTTAGATCTTAATTCATATTTTTCGTAATATTTGTAGTCGGTGTGCGGATTTGATATGATTTTGTTTTATTTTTAGCTGTATGAGAAGTATAAACTTTTTAAACAAAGCTGGATTTGTATGAAAAGTATGAACTTTGGATTTGTATGAGAAGTATGAACTTTAAACAAGGCTGGATTTGTATGAGAAATCTAAACTTTGTTAAAACTGGATTTGTATGAGAAATCTAAACATTAAACAAAGCTGGATTTGTATGAGAAATCTATACTTTAAACAAAGCTGGATTTGTATGAGAAGTCTGAACTTTAAACGAAGCTGGATTTGTATGACAAGTCTAAACTTTAAACTAAGCTGGATTTGTATGAGAAGTCTGAACTTTAAACAAAGCTGGATTTGTATGAGAAGTCTGAACTTTAAACAAAGCTGGATTTGTATGAGAAGTGTGAACTTTAAACAAAGCTAGATTTGTATGAGAAGTATGAACTTTAAACAAAGCTAGATTTGTAATATTAACATACCAGAGTCTAGGGTCATAATCAAAGGGCTTGATGCTAATATCTGATTTCATTTTCTTGTTATTTATGAGTATTTTCATTTTATTGGAATCTGATACCTGTCTTTCTGATTTTCTTTTCCCTTAAAAACAGAAATCTGTTTAGAGCTCAGGTTGCTACTGTTTTGTTAACTTAGTGTTGTTGTTTTGTTCATAGCAGGCCTTTTCAGGAGCACATCCTCCAATTCAATTTTGTTGAGCTTTGACTTCAAAGATCTCTCAAAATGGTAATGAAACTAATATGCCTTATTTCTTGTGGTTTTGCCAACACACTGAACAAGTTATTTAATTTAATTTATCATTCGACATCTGCAGGTGAAGTTCACAGCTGAAGAGCTCCGTGCTATCATGGACAAGAAGCATAATATTCGTAATATGTCTGTTATTGCTCATGTTGACCACGGTATGAGAGTCATAGTAGTTATGTGCTAATCTGTATGTACTCTTATTTAATGTGCTGTTCTCCGTATCAAATATGCTGAAAATCTCTCCTATTACTTGAAAAACCAGGAAAGTCCACACTTACTGATTCTCTTGTGGCTGCTGCGGGTATCATTGCCCAAGAAGTTGCTGGTGATGTTAGAATGACAGATACCCGTGCAGATGAAGCTGAACGCGGCATTACAATCAAGTCCACTGGAATTTCTCTGTACTATGAGATGTCAGATTTAGAATTGAAGAATTTCAAGGGAGAGCGTGATGGGAATGAGTATCTCATCAACCTTATTGACTCACCTGGACATGTTGACTTCTCATCAGAAGTGACAGCTGCTCTTCGTATTACTGATGGAGCCCTTGTGGTGGTTGACTGCATTGAAGGGGTTTGTGTCCAGACTGAGACTGTACTTCGTCAAGCATTGGGTGAAAGGATTCGCCCTGTCTTGACTGTTAACAAGATGGACAGGTGCTTCCTTGAGCTCCAAGTTGATGGAGAAGAAGCTTACCAGACATTCTCAAGGGTGATTGAGAATGCTAATGTTATCATGGCTACATACGAGGACCCACTCCTTGGTGATGTCCAGGTTTACCCAGAGAAAGGTACAGTGGCTTTCTCTGCAGGATTACATGGCTGGGCATTCACACTGACTAACTTTGCCAGGATGTATGCATCCAAGTTTGGTGTTGATGAATCAAAGATGATGGAAAGGCTTTGGGGTGAGAACTTCTTTGACCCTGCTACAAAGAAGTGGACCAGCAAGCACTCTGGGTCTGCCACATGTAAGCGTGGGTTTGTGCAGTTCTGTTATGAACCCATAAAGCAGATCATTGCCACATGTATGAATGATCAGAAAGATAAGCTGTGGCCGATGTTGCAGAAACTTGGTGTGACTATGAAATCTGAAGAGAAGGAATTGATGGGCAAGGCACTAATGAAACGTGTAATGCAGACATGGTTGCCAGCAAATAATGCACTTCTTGAAATGATGATATATCACCTCCCGTCACCTGCCACGGCTCAGAGATACCGTGTTGAGAACTTGTACGAGGGGCCTCTTGATGATCAATATGCCAATGCTATTAGAAACTGTGATCCAGAGGGACCTCTCATGCTTTATGTGTCCAAGATGATTCCAGCATCTGACAAAGGTAGATTTTATGCCTTTGGTCGTGTTTTTGCTGGTAAAGTGGCTACTGGAGTGAAGGTCAGGATCATGGGTCCTAACTATATACCAGGAGAGAAAAAGGACTTGTACGTCAAGAATGTCCAGAGAACGGTTATTTGGATGGGTAAGAAACAGGAAACTGTTGAGGATGTTCCTTGCGGAAACACAGTGGCTATGGTTGGTCTTGATCAATTTATTACGAAGAATGCAACTTTGACCAATGAAAAAGAGGTGGATGCCCATCCTATCAAAGCCATGAAATTCTCTGTGTCACCTGTTGTGCGAGTTGCTGTTCAATGCAAGGTTGCATCTGACCTTCCCAAGCTTGTTGAAGGTTTGAAGCGTCTGGCCAAATCTGACCCTATGGTTGTCTGTTCTATTGAGGAATCTGGGGAGCACATTATTGCCGGTGCTGGTGAGCTTCATCTTGAGATCTGTTTGAAGGACTTGCAGGATGATTTCATGGGTGGTGCTGAAATCATTACATCTGATCCTGTTGTCTCCTTCCGTGAGACTGTCCTTGAGAAGTCGTGCCGTACTGTGATGAGCAAATCTCCCAACAAGCACAACCGTCTGTATATGGAAGCTAGGCCAATGGAGGAAGGGCTTGCTGAGGCAATTGATGATGGTCGTATTGGACCAAGGGATGACCCAAAAGTACGTTCGAAGATTCTGTCTGAAGAATTTGGTTGGGATAAAGATCTTGCTAAGAAAATTTGGTGCTTTGGTCCTGAGACAACTGGGCCAAACATGGTTGTTGATATGTGTAAGGGAGTTCAGTACCTGAATGAAATTAAGGATTCTGTTGTGGCTGGGTTCCAGTGGGCTTCGAAGGAAGGTGCGTTGGCTGAAGAAAACATGAGAGGTATCTGCTTTGAAGTTTGTGATGTTGTACTCCATGCTGATGCCATCCACAGAGGTGGTGGTCAGGTGATTCCTACAGCCAGGAGGGTTATCTATGCATCCCAGATTACTGCCAAGCCCCGTCTTTTGGAACCTGTGTACTTGGTTGAGATTCAAGCACCAGAGCAAGCTCTTGGTGGTATCTATTCTGTTTTGAATCAGAAACGTGGTCACGTGTTTGAGGAGTTTCAGAGGCCTGGTACCCCTCTTTATAACATTAAGGCATACCTTCCTGTCATTGAGTCATTTGGGTTCTCTGGTACTCTGAGGGCTGCCACTTCAGGGCAAGCTTTCCCACAGTGCGTGTTTGATCATTGGGATATGATGACTTCTGACCCATTGGAGGCGGGATCACAGGCTTCCAACCTAGTGACTGTAATCCGAAAGAGAAAAGGTCTCAAGGAGCAGATGACCCCACTGTCTGAGTTTGAGGACAAGCTGTAAGGCAAGAAATTTCTGTTATACCAGGATGAGCTATAATTTTGATCCGTCATATGGGGTGATTCTAGTGTTATGTTGTGTGTTAAATTATGTTTCGGCTTCAGATGGCCTACTTCAGATATTGTTGTTTGAGAACATTTTGTTATTTCTACTTTAGACTTTGTTTGAGAACATTTTCATATTTTTATTTCAGAACAAATTTTATCTCAGAATAATTTTGTTTCTAGTTTTACAGGTTTTAGTTTGCCCTCTCTCTGATCTGAATAACTGCTAGCATAGTCTAGTAATACTATGTGATAAGGGTGAAATAGGATCCTTAACTACTATTGAAATGGTAGTTAAGATTTTTGGCCCAATAATTAGTAGAGTTTTGTTACACGAAGGTGACCTCTTTCGTTACTCACCCCCTCTGCTGTCTGTTTTTCTATAGGATAGCTTTTGTTTTTCCATTTCTGCAGCATTTGAATTCTGAAGCCTTCAAGTGTTTACCAAGATCTGTTTTTCTAAACAGTTCCTTAAATTTTTTCTTTGGGGTTGAGAAAGTTGGGTGGTCTCTTTCTGGATTCCTCACCTCATATTTATGTCAAAAGAAGTATTCATACTTCTATTCTTTTTCCTTCAAGTACACCGCCTTGGTATTCATATATATAGCAAGATTAGACAAATTAATACGAAATTTTCATAGCAAAATCATCGTATTCCTAGACAAAAATATTTAGCAATGCATAATGAAATTAACAGGAAAGGGCAGAAAAACAAAAACAACAATCAACACGGTAGGTCGACATTATTATAATCAATTAGCACAATACTAAACATTAAGCTACAATACAATTCAAAGTTTTGGATAAGAATGAAAGAAACTGTGATAAAGCTAAGCAATCTGTCACTATACTCAATTAGTATCCACGTAGCAGTTCACTTTACAAACTGGGAATTGAAGAATTAATAAAAAGGCATTATATTGCAATTTGAAGAAAAGAGAAATAAAACCAGGAAGAATGCTGCCAAAAATGTGGTGCCGCCGAAAGCTTTTTGCTGCCTCCAAGGTAATTTCGATGCAATTTTACAAACAGGATGAGTGGTCTGCCAAAAACGTCGCTACCACCAACCGGAGAAGAAGCTGCCAGCCGGAATTACGAACCAAGAAACGGATGGTGACGAAGACCGACTTTGGTGTGCGGAGTGAATTTATGAGATTGGTGGTTGATTGAATTGCCTACCTTTTATACGCCCAGTCTGCCTGAAATCTGCTCCAAATTTACCGTTCGCAGAGACTTGGATCCAAGGCCACCGCCGGAGTTCTGGTGCTTATTCGTTGCCGCTGATGAATCGGACCTCCCGGAGACCAAGTTTGGTGAAGATTGCCGTTCGAAGCCCTCTGATTCGCTAATCTCTCGTCCGTGGTCCGATCGGATCGCCCGATGATCTGGTTGGTTGCGTTTCGTTCGCCTCTCTCTGTTCGATTCTTACGATTGACTAGGTAAATAATACGGAGTAATAATAAGGAATAAGGATCTACCAAAGAAAATGCAATAAGAACATTGAACTCAAAAAGTGCAATTAAGTTCTTAAATAATTTAAAATGTTGTAATTGAATAAAAAATAACTTGTTTATAGATTATCATATTAAAATAATAATTTTTTATTTTATTTTAATAATTTAAAATAACAAAACTATTTTTTTAAAAAAAAAAATTATTATTTTAAATTATTAGAATAAAATAAAAAAAAATTATTTTAACATGATAATCTCCACATAGCTAGTAAATAGGTTATTTTTTTGGCTCAATTGCAACATTCTGTATTGTTCAGTGACCCAATTGCAATTTTTTAAGTTTAATGACCTTATTGTTTTTTTTTTTTTGTTTTTTTTTGTTTTTTTTTTTTGTTTTTTTGTTTTTTTGTTTTTTTTGTTTTTTTTTTTTTTTTTTTTTTGTAGTTCGATAATCTTTTTTTTGAATGTTACTAGCTCTATTACATTGTAGTATCTGTTCATATACTTTCTCAACCTACTGAAACACAAAGAGCTAATAATGCCTCCACATACCATTGTAGTTCGATGATCTATTTGATCATTATTTCTAATAATATTGGGGTTCAACCTTTTGGAGATAATAATAATAATAATAATAATAATAATAATAATAGCCAGAAGTTGGCTGTGGTATTTGGGATTATGAATTCTGTACCTGGTGCAACAATATAATCCATGTCATTAAGAATCTTAGGATATGTAGTGACTGCCATACAACAATTAAGCTGACAACCAAGATTGTTGATCATTTTAAGGATGGCTTGTGTTCATGTGGGGACTACTGGTGAGGTGAAACTACTGAGGAAACAATGAACCCCAGGAGAAGTGAGCAAGGCCTACCTAGTACCTACCCATCACTTGGTACCAGCAATAAATCTGTTTCTGGTATTATATTGTTGCTTACCTGTTGAGTGAATATTCCTATCCTGATGGCAGAATTGTTGATGATTCTAATTCCATTTTTCCTTCTTCTCCTTGGTAAGTTTGTAATGGCAACAAAATGGAAGAAAACTCCATTAATTAGAATTATACAAGTATTTGTGTGTATTTACCTGTAACTGCCTAACTGCCTTACTGCCATCAAAATATCTGCTTTAATTTGTCAAACCACAAACTGTTTATGGTCTTAGCCCTGCCTTGGTTATGGTCAAACCGTGCGTGGAATGAAGCTCTCCTTGATGTGTATATCCAACGTAACCAATTTCGCTTTGTTGCGTCACATGGTTTTGCCACAATGTTTTGCTGACTTTGGGTTTGAAGATAACAAATAATATTATATTATAGCTGCCTGAATTAACTCTGATCTGGTTTGAAGGATTCTGTGTTTGTTTTACTTGGTTTTACCATCTATAATGGTTAAATAAGCTGTTTAACTACACACCAAAATGCAATTAAGCTACTGAACTAAAAAAATTACAATTAAATGGGAAACAATGCAAGTTCATGCAATTTAACCTAAAATGACTTGTTTAATTGTTAATGTGGTTGACATGCATTTTTGTTTCTTTATTTAAAAATAATTTTTAAGATTTTATTTTAATAATTATTGAATAAAATAAAAAGAACAACCCCCAATCTTACCGGAGACGAAGAGGACCCTTTGTCTCTGGCCAGCCAACCATGGAGACGAAGGGGATCGTCTCCATGGTTGGCCGGAGACAAATGGACGGCCATGGAGACGAACCCCCTTCGTCTTAGGCCATTTTTTTTTTTAATAATTATTTGATAGTTTGAGACTTCTTTGTTACCAGTTAGATTATTGGTGATATATAAGGGTTTTGATCGAGAGGGAAATTGTAGTTGATGTTGGTCTATTAACTAAGGCTTCTGTTTCCCTGTGGATTAGTCTCGCTGGGAATGCTGGTGTGGGGGTGGCGACGGATGGCTTGGTGGTTGTGCTGGTCGCAGCGGCTGGCCGGCGGCTAAGTCGTTGAAATGACTCTCGTTTTATCTCAAAAAAATAAAAAAATAATTGATTTAAAATCATTAAAATAAAATTACTAAAATTATTTTTAAATAAGGAAACCGACACATCAACACATTAACAGGTAAATAAGTTATTTTAGATTAAATTACATGGATTTGTGTAGTTCACTAACCTAATTGTAATTTTTTTGAACTTAATTGTAGTTTTATTGAGTTCAGTAATCTAATTACACTTTAGTATGTAGTTAGATGCCTTATTTGATACTTATTCCCATCTATTATTTGACAAATCTTTAGCCGAAAAGCTTTGATTCTAAGCTTATTTCTAAGGGTGCATTTGATTCAAATCATCACATTCTAAATTTCACCACCTTGGAAATATCATGCTACTTGTGAATTTGGGAGGAATGCAATTTTCTGAAATGTGAGTAAATTAATTACAAAATCACCTTGTGTTCAGATGACACCTCTGTGGCTCTCATTGAGGGAAAGTCACAGGACCGAACCCCGGTGGTAGGATATTGACTCTTTGGACTGCAATAGTTAGAAAAAGTATATAACAGATATTACTTGTAATAGAGTTAATAGTATTCAAATAAAATTTACAAAACCATTTTTAGGAATTTCACATTACTCTAGAAGGTTACATATTTTGGACGTTAAAAGTTTTATTCTAAATTTATTTACACGCTAAAATAATATCTTGAGTTGACAAAACTCGTTAATAGTAATGGAATGTATGCACCAGCACAAGAAAGATTCTTAAAAAAAAAAAAAAAAAAAAAAAAAACATGAATTAAAAGGCATGTAGCTATGTAGGCAAAGAGAGTATATTATGATTCTAGCAAATACCGCCAAAATGGATATAAATTAAATGGTTTTTTATTTTTATTTTTTATTTTGGAGAAAAATGGCATATTCCTTATTCCATCTGAATCTCTGTTACGGGATAATACCCGATAAAAGTGGCATAGTCCTAGATAGATAAGAAATTTGGACCAAAAAAAAAAAAACAAAAAACCACTGGTTGGAATGAATCAAGAATTAATGGTGTGTTTAAAAACTAAGTAACTTCTAGAAAATAATTTTTGTAAAATGACTCATTTTTCAAAATAGATTTTCTTTTTCTGTGTTTGGTTACATTCTAGAAAATTGTCTTGTTATATTTAGTTCATTTTTCAGATAATAAGCAGAATTGTATCAAATCTTAAATAATTTTGAGCGAACAAATGTGCATTAAAAACAAACATTTTGTTTATACAAGCAATCCAAGGGGCATCTCTTTAAAAAGTAAAATCAGTGTTATTTATTTATTTATTTTTTTTTTGTAATAAAAAAATTTGGCTTCATAATTTAATAAAAAAAGAAAAGGAGAAATACTTAGATGGTTGATGGAAGAAGAGATTTGGGAGGAGAAAATGAAGAAGGTTTGAGAGAAAGAGGAAAATGTTGACTGGTCATGTACTTGTAGTTCTAGAAAATGACATTTTCAAATTTTGGAGGAAGTTATTTTCAGAAAGAATATTTCATTGATTTTAATTTTTCATGTTTTGCTAAAAAGTTCAAAAAAATTATTTCCCTAAATCATTTTCCCGGTTCTAAACACATCCTAAGAGTTGACTTGGAAATTTTATTTTATTTTAAAAAAATGCATAAGTTATTTTTAATTTTTTTCAATTTGGCTATTTTAATTTAAGAAAATAAAGCAAAAAAATACATATTTTAGCTAATGGAAAAAAGATCTCTTTTGGC